CCAAACTACTCAAAATTTCCGCTACCGATTCTCCAAACTACTCAAAACTTCTGCTACCGATTCTCCAAACTACTCAAAATTTCCGCTGTCGGTTCTCCAAACTACTCAAAATTTCCGCTACCGATTCTCCAAACTACTCAAAACTTCTGCTACCGATTCTCCAAACTACTCAAAATTTCCGCTGTCGGTTCTCCAAACTACTCAAAATTTCTGCTACCGGTTCTCCAAACTACTCAAAATTTCCGCTACCGGTTCTCCAGAACCTGCTGGATTTCACCCCTGCTTCAGGGGGTCAGCATAGCAGCAGCAGTACACGAAAGGGGATAAATATAGGATAACTGGGAAATATGGCTTTCGAAAGATAGGCCAAGAGCCAGAGGGTTTCACTTCAGATCGCCCCACCCATGTCATAGTGTGTATGGCCCACCCCTAGCTCTTTTCCAAGGAAGTTGGTATGGACCATTCAAAAACAGGGGGAGCAAACAAACACACAGTTCTCTGCTTAGAGAGCCCTTTGTATAAATTGAAGAAAATGTGTGATCAACTCCGCATGGTGAGATTTGAAACTCACTCCTAACTATTTCATACTTTCATTCATTTTTTGGCGAAGTTTTGAACCTGAATTGGTTTGAATAAGTACCGTGTTTCCCCAAAAATAAGACAGGGTCTTATTTTCTTTTGACAACCCACCCCCATAAGCGCTTGGCCTTATTTTCACGGAGGTCTTACTATTTTTGAGGTGCAAGGGGAGGCGAGCGTGGTCACCTCATGGCTGTTGCCGTGTTGCAATATTTTCAGGGGAGGGATTATTTTAGCACATGCGCTCAAAAGCCCAATCGGGCTTATTATCCGGGGAGGTCTTATTTTTGGGGAAACAGGGTAAATATTTTTTTTTCCAATTATTTCTCAAGATGATACGAGTCTATTTGTATACATTCAGCTAGCGGTTTCATCCACGAGGCCGGGAATTTTGAATTTTGGGACAGCTGTAATCTTTACGTTCATTGATGTTTTATTTTAAACTCTGCCATGCCCTCTCTTGCCTGCTTCCTTTTGCTTTTAAATGGTCATGTACAGAGCTTGAAGGGCATGTGTCCCATATTTCTGTAGGCAGTCCCTTCCATCTGATAAACTCTTGATTTAGGAATGGTGCCCTTAGAAGAATTGTGATCTCTCTCTCTCTCTTTTTCCCGGATAGTGGTTAAAGAAATGGATTAAGAAGTGTGATGATGACAGTGAAACTTCGAATTGGATTGCGGCAAACACAAAGGTTTGGTGGTTTGTTTCTCTGGCTTGACACCCTCACAATAACAGAGTCTCTTGTCTCCCTTACAAGAACGTTCTGTGAAGTCTGACCCTTCCTTTTGCATACAGGGAGTGATAATTTTTTTCCCTGTAAACAATAGCTCTTTGGTTTTCCTCTCTTTCCAACTCAAAGAACTGAAGAGCCAAAAGAAAGAAAGAAAGAAAGAAAAAGGAACAATGTCTATTACGCCTGGTTTGGGGGTTGTTGTTGTTTTTAATTGCTTAAAAAAATCAGGCATTATTGTCTTAACTCAGTGATTGCAAACCTTTTTTGGCTCGCATGCCAAAAGCGGGGGGAGGCGCGGCGCGCATGACCAGCGCTCCCCCTCCATTTTTGGCATGCTTTTTTCACCCTCCCCAGGCTCCAGAGGCTTTATAGCAGCCTGGGGAAGGCAAAATCAGCCCCCCCCTCCCCCCGGAGGCCCTCCAGAGGCTTCAAGAGCTTCCCTGAAGCCTCCAGAGCATGAAAAACCGGTCCTATGGGCAAACCGGAAGTTCAGGAACGGTCATGCATGCATGACCAGCACTCCCCATTTTTGGCCTTCTTTTTTTGCCCTCCCCAGGCTCCAGAGACTTTATAGGAGCCTAGGGAGAGCGAAAACAGCCTCCCTCGCCTTCCATAGGCTTCTCTGATGACTCCGGAGGACTAAAAACGGTGCTAAGGACAAACCAGGAACAAACTCACCTGGGAAGCTCTTGAAGCTTCCGTAGGGCCTCCGAAGAGGGCGGGGGAGGCNTCTTTCTTTTTTCCCCCTCCTCTCCTTCCTTTGCTTTTTATCCACGAAGCTTCATCCAAGCAGAACTGAAGAAGCTACTTGGATGAAAAGTGAAACGTTTTCAAAAGGGGGAAAAAAAACCCCCAAGAAAGTCCAGTTGCCATTTGGAAAAGCACCTTTTGGGACAAGTTATGGCTTGCTTCTAACTAAATCTGTGCAATTGTCATTGAATACGAAGAGAAAATAACAGGGTTTCCACTGTGATGGAGCTTTGCATAAAGGATTTCTGGCAAGAGAAGAATGTATTCTTAACAAGACATCTTTCATTGCAATCTGTCCCTGCCTTTTCTGCAATACCCCCCCCCCCCCATTTGAAAGCAGTGAGGCCGTGCTAACGGGTGTGTTTCTTGCAGTGCAATCGACTGTTAAAATGGTGTCCTGCTCCAGATTGCCACCATGTTGTCAAAGTACAATATCCTGATGCTAAGCCTGTTCGCTGTAAATGTGGCCGGCAGTTTTGGTAAGCTGGTTGGATGATGACAAGAGCACCAAGGTTAGATTTTGGTACCTTGGCGTCTTGGTGGGGGAAATCAGCCTTGGCTTCCTCTGATAGCCAACCCAAGTGAACACGGGCTGCTGAATATTTTCGGGGGGGGGGGGATAGGCAGGCTGTTTGCTGACTGCCGGTCATAAATCAAGTTTGAGGGTTAGGGCAAAGCTCTGTATCTTAAACGTTCCGCTGTTTTTAAGTATTGCTTAACTGGAAAACTGTCTAAAAAACCCATTTTAAACATTTGTTGCAGTTTTAACTGTGGCGAAAACTGGCATGATCCTGTTAAATGCAAGGTGAGCTTTTTCAGCTTTTTGGGGTGCATCTCGCCGGTGGCAGTATAGAAAAATAATATAGCTTCAGGGCAGTGGTGAAATTCAATTTTTTTTTGCTACCGGTTCTGTGGGTATGGTGTGGTGTGGCTTGGTGGGAGTGGCAGGGGAAGGATACTGCAAAATCTCCATTCCCACCCTACTCCGGGGGACCAGCCAGAGGTGGCATTTGCCGGTTCTTCGAACTACTCAAAATTTCCACTACCGGTTCTCCAAACTACTCAAAATTTCCGCTACCGGTTCTCCAAACTACTCAAAATT